AGGAGGAACATCACGACCCAGAAGGGCGCCTGTAGAATCTGTAAGAACGTATTGACCATTCCCTTTGTTTTTGCCATGGACAGTGTAAGGACCTTCATAACGAGCATCGGTCTTGGATCGACGATTCATGCTGACGACCATAACCTTACTGCCGATAGGGAATTCCTTCAAAATACGGAACTTCTTTGCGAATTTCCCTTCTTGTGCTTGGTGTAGAGCTTTGATCCGGTCACGAAGAGCAGGAATGACAACCTCCGCCATCTGTTCCTCTCTTTTGTCAGTGTAACGAATCTGATCCTCAATGCCTTCCTGTATCAAATTGCTGTAGTCTTGCCAGAGATTAGGTTGACGAGCGAACATGACCGAAAACGGACGGGAACGATGCAAGGCAGCATGCTTGTTATTGATAGCAAGTTGTGCACTTGGAAGGAACAGATCCCAATCATCCTTTTTTCCGTGTAAACGTTTAACGATCACGCTCTTCGTCGTATGAACCCATTTTTCTGCGCAGCCATTTGCTCTAGGATTGTATTGCGTAATGAGGCGTCTGTCTACGGCACAGTTTTCCAATAGATGACGAACGACTTCATTGCTGAATTCAGAACCACGATCCATTTGTAGGATTTTTGGGTAACCAAAGTCTCCAAAGATTTGAACGAGATTCATAGCAATGGTAAGTGCGGTCTTGTCAGGAAGAGCACGTAAAATAACGTAGCGAGAAAATAAATCAACCATGACCAAAATATAGTTGTTACCACGAGGTGTAGTGCAGTTTAAATCGCCTAGGTCAATAGCCCAGTGATCGCCAGGTTTATCTGCAGCGATGCTACGAAGTGGGTGATAACCGTGTTTGCCAATATTGAAACGTTGACAGTCTGGACAATTAGCAACGGTGTTTAAAGCGTCTTTCTTTATAGTTGACCAGTGTAGGCCTTGGCTATGCATTTCATTGATGATTGAATCAGTACCGAAATGGCCATTGAGATGCGCTTGTACTAGGAGATTAGCACGTTCATTCTCGGGTGGTGTCATGTATTCGACGAGTGTTGCAGCACGTTGAGTGAGGGATTGAGAAGAAGAAAAACCGTTTTTGTTTTGGTGTGACTTTTTGAGTTCACCCAAATATGGTGAAGGAGCGATTCTTTTTCCTGTAGTATCATCCCCCGCCAGCTTCTTTGGCATAAAAAGACGGCTGAGCGTGTCCGGTAAGATGTTTTGCATACCAGGTAGATGAACCACTTCAAAGTCATAGTCAAAGATAGTGTCATACCAGGTAACCATCATCGGATTTGCTACAACTTGTGTGTGCAGATAAGTTAAAGCTTTATGATCAGTAAAGAGTGTGAATCTGTTACCCCATAGATACTTGTGAAATTTGTGAAAACTGAAGACAACTGCTAAAAGTTCACGCTTTGTGACACTATATGACGTTTCAGCTTTGTTTAAAGCACGTGCCATGAAACCAATGTATTGATATCGGTTGTTTTTGATTTGGTAAAGACAGCAACCAATACCAGTGTCAGAAGCATCCGTTGCCACATAATAAGGCAAAGATTCATCAGGTTGGCTTAAGACAGGAGCAGATTCCAAAGCAGCTTTGATATTGTTAAAAGCGATGGTGTGTTCTTCTGTCCAGTGCCCGGATAAATCCTTTATGTTGCGGAGCTTGTCAAGGGGAGCTGTGAGCATAGCCACCTTGGGAATGGATTGTCGGAAGAAGTTCACTAATCCAAGAAATTGTTGTATGTTATGGCCAGTTTGAGGTAATTTCCAGTCATGGACGTTAGCAACTTTGCGTTTATCCAGAGAAATACCACCAGCATGAAGGCAGTAACCAAGGAGGTAGACTGACTTTTGAGCCCAGGAGCATTTGTCACTGTTGAGCACGAAGTTGACCTTGGAGAGACGACTAATAGCGTCTTGTACGTGATGTACGTGTTCTTCCATAGTGTCAGAGAAGACAATGATGTCATCAATATAAGAATCCACGTGCTTCACACCATTAAAGATTGATATGAACACATTTCATAAATAAACTGCATAAAAAACGGATACCAAACGGACATCCCACAAAGGAATATTGTCGATCGTTAAAGGTAAATGAGAGTTTCTTCGTGTACTTTGAAGCGTGTGAAAGCGGATTTCAAATCAAGACAAGTGAAGACAGTCGCGTTTTTCATCCGTCTTGCAATATCGGAGCAAAGAGGGATTGGATAGGACTCTTCAGTTGTACATAAGGCGTTCAGTGCCCTAGTATCAATACAAGGTCGATAGGATGTAGGCAATCCTGTTTTCGGATCCTTTTTGGGTGCAAATGTCATAGGATTGTTCCATGCATTACCAGGAGGAGCGTGTTTGATAATACCATCAGCAAACCATTGATCTATCTGTGTTTGAAGAATAGGAATCAATTTGTCCACTAAAGGATATTGACGCCGATTTACAAATTTTCCTTCAGGTGTGTGAATACGAACAACCGATTCGGGAAGAGTGCAAAAAGCAGAAGGAGGAATGTTTATATTTACCTGTATGTAAGGTTGAATAGATTCAAGAAATTGTTTGTGTTGCTCTGGTGTACCAGCAGGAGAATTGTTTGGTTCAGGTAAATCTTCTGGTTCAGGCAAGCTAGGACGAGAAGAGCGGTGCCAGCAAGAGGCGAGCCCTTTCAAGTAAATACCAATAAGAGGCATGAGATCTGAGCCAATAGATACTTCGGCATCAGCATTGAATTCAAAGACTTCAAAAGAATGTGAGGCAGTGATTCCGTTGTGTAAAATCTTTATTTCGTTTGTATGACCAATTCTACTAATGCTCGGGCCAGGAGCAGCCAAGTTGACCTTTCCTTTCATCGGAGTGACAGACAGACCCAGAAACGACCGCAGCGAAGGAGTGATTGCCGAAAATGTGGCACCCGGATCAACAAACGCCCAGGTTTCATACTCCTGTATAGTAACCGGTACATAAAAAGCTTTAGTATTCTTGTAAAGATGACGTGAAAAATCATGTGAAGACTTAACAATCATAACAAGCTTTGTGAAGTGAAGCATCGACCTCTTCCATAACCGCGTCTTCCAGAGAAAGAGACGAGAATGGGGCAGAAGATGGTGATGGTGCTGTGTGAGCCACGGAGGCAACAGCAGCAGGGATCGACGCGGGAGCCGAAGAAGGAAGAGAAGGGATTGGCTCGGAAGCCGGGGTGACTGGTGCGGAGCCAGAAGCAGACGATGACTCGGAAGCCAAAGTTGCTGAACGAATAGCCAAATGGTTGACTTGACATCTGTGCGTTTTGTCCCAAGGGGCACCACAGCGGAAACACTTCTTACCACCTGACGATGGCGACGACAAGCCTCCCAAACCAGCAGAACCAGCACTCGGAACCACACCAGACGAAGACGACGACGCACTCAAGTGCTTCGAAACCTTGCTAGACGAACCATTGTTGCGAACACCTGTCAGCATGCGGCATTCTTCTGTCGAATGGCGGCCAGCACCGTGCAAACGGCAGACCTTGCCAGCAGAGACCTTCTTCTTTCCCTTGTTGTTTTTAGCAGCGACAGGCGAGGACCAAGGGGAACTTGAACCTACTATGGAAGTAGTATCCAGAGAAGCAGCTTCTTTGCTGTGTTTTGACACAACTACCTTGCCGTACAGCGTGCGCGCCAAGTTTGCAGCTTGGTCAGTGGAAGCCCGTTGGCTGGCCGGCAGATGAGCTTGGCTCAGAGCCATTGTAGGCTTCGTTGAAACCAACAGGGTGCTCATACTGAAGCACACACAGTTCGGTGAAAATGTAGAAGATAAATGGGTGAAGGTGTTCAAAGAAGTCGCAAAGAAGCACGACATTGAGTTGGTAAGGGACCAATACATACAATGGATCCAAACTTATGTTACTAACTATTATTATTGCAAAGATCAAGAAAAGAGTGAAGCCAGATTGGGGTGCTATTAAGCTTGAGATATGGGAGCGTCACAGTAAGTATATATAAATTTTCTTTGTGGAGGAAGTTTCCCGAATGAGAGTTTATCATGCTCTTGAGTCACGCGTGCCGCTCACAGTAAGTATATGCTAACGACTTGTGCGTGGAGGTACGCTGAATCAACCAATTGCAACACCAATAACGCCGTCGGACAAAACAACGACAAAGTCCATAGCTACAAGTTTGAGAGTTCTGCTGTCTACCCAAGATAAGAACGCTTTAAGGCAGAACTTGGAAAAATTGGATTCAGGCACCTTCTGGGTGATTAAAGACAGCAATGATGGTGAGGCATCAACCCAAGGTCAACAACCATTGGTTGTAGATCGAATCGTAATGGACTACGCGTTGCAGTGCAATTACCATCAGTACGTATAAGAGTTGTGAGACGCGTTAAATCATCCATGCGTTCTGAATATCTCCGTAGTCCTATGCAATCCTTTATCCTAGATTTGGGCGATGACAATTTGTCATCAATTTTTTCCGAGGCACAGCTTGATGCTATTGAGGCTTTTGAGGATCCATTGCTCCCGTCCTTATCTCCAGAAATCACTAGTATTCTCGACGATGTTGCAAAGCTGGTAAGAATAAAGGAAATAATAGCAGCAATTGTGGCGGTGGGTGCTCAGTAAGAAAAAGCTATTACCCGGGAACTCTATTAATTATTTTGTGGTTTGACATTTTATTCTCTTACTATGTTAGGCCACGCCGCTCCAAGCCTATGAATATGGCAGATCGTTGAAACATAATCTGGTTGAGGAGCCACTAAAAACTTGGTTATCCTCAGTGTAATATCCAATAAACCAAAAGAGACAGAATAAGTCAACGAGACCCGAAAGGAATTGAAACTGGTTTATTATGATAACAAAAGTTCTCACTATTTATAAGAAATGGCTTATCCTTGGCAACTACCACAGCGTGTGCCTTGAACGAATGAATTGATGTTATAAATCAATTTTATAGGATTAAGTAATGTATGATGCATGAGTAAAAGGTACATCCGGGTAAATGCCTCAGATAGTAGCTAATGTGAATTACGTGATCCCAATAATGACAACTTCTTCCTGAGCATAGCTGATCGGTGTTTCACCAAGATCTCTATGAATAAAGAAATGTCCACACAAGTGAGGTTATGAGGGAAATAACAGCAATCGTTAATGACCGATTAAAGAATATGTGTTATTGATCATGTTGGATACAACATTCAGTATGTTCCGTATCTGCCTTCCGTTCCGGCCCCCCTTTCTTTTCTTCCGCCATCTTTGGTATTCCTCTGTGGTGTGCGTTGCGCCTTTGCGTTTCGTTTGCTTGCGTTCTGGGTGCGCTCTCGTTGCGCACGGCGGCTATTCCCAATATCATAACCAAACGGAAAAACATCTGCAGGCTCTGCTGATGGTGCGGTCACGGTGCTCGTGGGAGTCAGTCGATGAGGTGCAGTCCGGATATCTGGGTGGATGGTTTCCTCGATGGCTGGACTAACATGGCGATGACACTTCTGGTAACAGCCTGTGAGGATACCAGGGCCATCGTGGCACTGCAGTGTTTAAGTGGGAGTGGGGGAGGGTTTACCTAAAATAGTTTTGGGCTGACTGAGATATCATGAATCCAAGTACAGTAAGGATAACCGTAGGACCAACGGAAACGAGCCAGTGCTTTGTGTGATAGTGCAAATGTAGATTTTTATTATGGAAGACTTAGTGACCTTGTGTACAGTATCCGCTCGTTAAACCGATCACCACTGTTTTTCGAGAAAGTGATCGGTTTAAAGAATTATCGGTTTGAAGATTGAGGTTCCACTATATGACATACATACTGCTTACCAAGCTGGTATTTTCGGGAAGTGATTGGTTTAACGAAATATTGGTTTAAACGTGATTGGTTTAACGAGTGGGTACTGTAATTGGTCGCTTCCATGCGGTACAATGAGGAGGGGAGTATTTACAAATGAAGATACCACAACTGAAAAAAAACAACCCCCGTAAAATGGGAAATAAGTTATGGTGGAGATTTATGTTGAAAGTGAAGGAGACTAGGTAAGAGAGTAAAACAAATTACAGAAGAAAGAGGGGACAAATAATGAGAACGATGAGACAAACACTTTGAGGTATGCTGTAAGGACGAGTATATTACGTATGTATGTGTGTGTGTGTGTGTGTCTAGAAAAGGGCAACTCTGCAGCAGGCTATGGATCCGATACATCATAGTCAACACTTGGATGGCTGAGGCGGTCTATTTCGCTTTGTGTGATATGTGCCACATTGTACGGATAATCCTGGAACGTATTGCCAGCAAGAGACCATATGCCTCTTATAGTACAGCTGATGAGCATCGTAGAATATGGTGCGCGGTGTGGTTGTAGACCTTGCCCAAATGCAGTACAATGGTACGTGGAGAAGTGTTCCGGCTGTTGAGAGTGGAGCTGAGTCGAGTTGAAGTTAGTCTATGTCTCAATAAAACATAGCGATGATTTTATCTGAGGATTCACATATTTGCAGTGGACCGACTGCTGTTTCTATTACCTTTCAATTCAGGCTCAAAACAAATCTTACTGGCATTAGCAAACATATATTAACCATGAAGATTGTACAAAAGAAAGAACGTGGCCGACTTTAGATACCTCTGCAAAATACAGCATGTCTTCTTGAGAGCCCAGAGGGTAGCCTTGGCTAGCAGAAGTGTTGTTCGGACCGTGAGCTTGGTAAAGAGGAACACGGTCCTTATCAACGATGCTGCCGCCTGCACAAACGAGACCGCCGTCTCCACAACCGAGACCGCCGCGCTTAAGACCAATGCTAGATCATCAGCAGTGAGCTCAAAAGCGTCCTGGTTGTGGTTGTTGTCCTTGGTGGTGGCGATGGAGGAGGAGGAGGAGGAGGAGGAGGCACAGGAGGCGGAGGGGGAGGAAAGAAAACTGGCGAACCAGCGGAACGCAGATTGCAGTGCCGAGGCAGCTGCAGGCAAAATTGTTTTTAAAAGATGCATATTTGTTGTGTGTGTGAGTGTGTAAAACGAAATATAATAGTAATTGAAGGGTTAAGAGATACCCAGAATCGAACGAAGCTTGGTATTTATAATGCTAGAACAAACCTTGGTATTCAATCCATCCATCCGTAGCAGCTGATCAATCACCTTTTGCTCACTCAACTTATCATTCTTAACTCCATCATTACTACTTCTACTTCACCCGAGGTTTTTTCTGACACTTAACCTTGTTCTTGTCAAGTTTCTCCCTTGTCATTACTCCTGTGTAATTTCTTGTGACAGAGCATCGGGTAGATATATCAACAATGGAGAATCAGCTTTCAGAAATAGCAGGAACCCAATAGAGAAAAGTAGAGAGATAAATTGGCAGGTCGGAGGCCATGTGTCGCTTCACTGAGGGTTTCTTTTCCTCTTTTATGTATTGGAGCCCGTTCCCATACAACCAAGTTTAGAAAAGATAATATGTCAGCTTTTAGCATCATAATGACATGTTGTTCTCGAAAAAAGAGTAGCAACGAGAGGAGTTCCTTCTCAATATATGCCGTTGAAAGCTTGACGCATAGTTCCTTGTCTTCTGATGTGCTGAGTTAACGGCCGTCCAACTTTTGCACTGGCTGTCTTCCTGTTTCTTTCACGATACTTTCGTCTATGTGTACCCTTTCCCTATTTCCTGACATCCTTTCCCAACTCTTTCCAAGCAGCAACGACACTGCCACGGCAAAAGAAGAAGCATAAAGTTATAGATCCATAGATGTAATAACAAATGATAGACACTAATGATAAAATTAAAGTTCCATGCTTTTCTAGACATGAGCTTTTACACACAAGCCATTCCTCTTGTCCAGGGCTACTAGTACTACACATACAGTAATACTTTGATAACAACTCCATGCGCGTTCTATTTTGATAGATTAACAAATCGTTGCGACATTATGATGGAATAACGTGTATTTCACGTTACCCTTACATTATTTCAGATGCCCGGCGCGCTGCATTATTGATGTTTTCATTACTATAGACATTTATGACAACCACAATCAACAGTGACAACGAGATATCATAATCAGAAACAGCATTTTTACGGGACAAATTGCAGCCATGAAACTAACTTCAAAAATTTAGAAGTTTGAATGAGTCCCTCAGTAACGCTTTCTGTGTGCAGTGTAGATGAGCACGCTTATTCATGAAGTTGTCATTATGATTATTTATCTGGATAACGCCGTCTGGCTTGGACCGTGTATGTTCGTTTCCCAGATCCTCCTGCTAGTTTTATAGTAATCAAGTTAACAACAGATGCTACATCTTACGCAGCACTTAATATTCGTTCCAAGTTTCGCAATCGGTCTTGTTTTTCCCTGCTTACACGAGGTCCGGTGCCCGGTATTGCTGTTGCTATTCTGCGATGCCAGAAACTCAATTTTCACAGCAGGCTTGTACGTTAGCTTTAGCTTCTGTACCGGACGATATTATGTCAACTTCGTGTATTTATACTTGGAGCATTGTGACAAACACGCTTGATTTGATGCTTTATCCCGTTCTCGAGGTAATGCTGCTTACAAATTATAGGACGGGTCATCCTGTCATTTCTATTAATTGCACCAGCTTATCTGGATGGTGTTTCCTGAAACGCCCTTCAACCAGAGCAGCGTTGTTCCCTCAATCCCTGCCACCGAAAGCTCTTCCGGAGCTATCCTCGCCCTCATATACAGTATTGGATCTCCACCGGCTGTATCCAATGTCACCGCTATGTTAGTCCAGCACCAGTCGCTCACCTTTGCCTCGAAATCCCTGAATGAGGTGTCTGGGCTGGGGTGTCTGGCGTGCGGTGTGGTGATACACCGCGATAGGGAAGCAACTTTCCAGGCTAGCCGCCTAAAAAAATCTTGGGAGTTGCGAGAATCTAGCCTTTGGCTTGATCATGTCGTTTCGTGCGGTCCTTTTGGATAAGCTCTGACGAGCAGTCGTGGTGGTTATGCTGTCACTGATGGTGTCATATCTCCAGGCTAGCCGCGGAAAAAAAAGCTCGTTTACGTGGTCCCAAGTTGAGGATTGTTAGAATCCTGTCTTTGGCATGATCAGTCTTTTTCTATAGGGCTCCCTTTTTCATCCAATGTATCTCTCTATGGCAAATTCTTATGGATTGGCACCGTCATTCGCAATAGCAACTACAACCAAGTGCTCTCTGAAGAAGCTGGCCTACGGACAAGGACAACCTGATACACAAAGAGCAAGTGTATCATCTACTGCTTTGGGATACGTCGATATAAAACTATTAAAGCTTGTGTGTACATCTATCTTCAAACAAACCCACAATACAGACCCTCGTCATCGTCGGCAGCCAGCTATTTATGATTCAGCATACACGCAAAGACGGATCTATCGTAAATGGTGACTAATAGACTCGGCTAGGAGAAGCAGACGTTATATTTTGTCAAAGAAAAAAGAAGACAAAGCTCAGCACATGCATTCAAGGTAATTGCATACTCATGGAGAGAGCTTTAAAAGATGAGTACTGTATGTCAGTTTTGAAAGCAGAATTTACGAAGCACCGCTAGAGCACACGTACTGTACTCATTAAATCGCGAATCATTGACAATGAGAAAAATGGCGGCTGATACACAAACACGTACGTTGAAGGGTCATCACAGACGACACCAGAGAGAGGGAGACATGCCTAACTCTTTACTTACTTTATTCAAAAATATCACCTTATATACCAATAGCATTAGAAGTCTAAAGGAATAGTATATGGTGCATAAAAGGTTCTCTCTAAATAAACAAGGCAGTTAAATGTATGTGGGCCACTACTATTTCCACCTGTGTGATGTTATCATTTACTAGAAGAGATTGCTGCCACCATACTTTACATACTAGGAATAACACAGGCGTGCTCCAAGGAGTTGCAAATACAGCCTGAAATTTCGGAATCAAGGATTGTGTGTAAGATGCATTGGTGCGCATAAGCAAAAAGAAATGTTGTGTTTCTGACCTACTAATACTCAATTTCTTATCAGAGTTGGCCTACAGATACTGAAACTCTAAATGGTCAAATCTCATTCACTTGGTATGCGATGATGACAAAGAAATCGTTTATATACACAGAACACGCCAAACTATGGGTATTATCATTAAGATGATAACCATAACACAACGGTTCACAAAGAGGTTGGGCTTGCGCTAGTCATTGGCGCCGGTTTCCAAAAGGAAATGCCTGAAATATACCACTCAAACATTATTTACCCGATAAAATCTGTTGCCGAAAATAGAGAAATGAGTGAAAGAATATAAATGGCGTACACATTTCACTAGTCGGCAAATTATCAGATTCCTCCCCTCTGTTTTTCTCAACAACACGGCCTTATTAAATACGTATTCTTTGTTTTTCTGGCAGAAACAACGTCGGTCATATAAAATGTCAGGATTTTGGAGTAAAAGTTATCAATTGTTTGACAAGCAAAAGCGACGAGCATTGAGAAAATCAATGGAAGTGAGGATTTTTCTTTGGAGAAAGAGGCAACCTCCAAAACGGCTACGATTTTCTGCTTTCATTTATAGCTTTTATGAAGCTCAATGTCAATTTATCCGTTAAAATAACTCCTGCTATCATAATAAGCTTCAACATATGTGAGAGCATAATAATGCTGCTAGCCATACGGCCGTAATTCCAAAAAACAGCCAATGATAACATGAGACAATGTGCTTTCAGGTCTTCTACTAACAGTAACTTTATGTAGTAAATGCTGATGGAAATGTGTGTTCGCTTCAAACAGTCGATCGTGTCACAACTCAAAGAACTTTTATTATGATGACTACCCCATCTTCCTTTATGTATGTGTGCAAACACTGAGTGTTAAGGTATGTATATACATAATTACGTGTCGTGAACAGAGTAGGTATCTATCGTAAAGATGTATGGTATTATCCTAAGTATTTTATGAATTTAAAGCGAGTATTGGTTGACTTCCAAATTTTTTGATCATTCACAGACGAACGCGTGTGCTATTTGCTTCCCTCTTGACAGCTAAGCTGGAATTCGTTGTACTCGGGTATGTAGTACAATGAAAGCTGCATATGCAATATCCTTTACGGGCAGTATAAAAATCTAGCATTGTTGAAGAGAATGTTTTACTATTAAACTAGCTTGGCAGCAGATATATATATTGAAAACACTTGACTGGTAGTGGACTGATTAGTGGTCGAGTACATAGCAGACGAGAGCATCATCCGTACGGTACATCGTGAGTGCGTTCTGCATAATTCATTGTCGTCAACAACGTGTTGTATTCTATAAATGGCGATGCATCAACCGGGCTACAGCACTTGCTAGCGGACCAACGTGGTAAAGCATCGGCGCGTTACTTTATTTTTTAGAATCTGCGCTACAATGTCATGTCATATGGATCAACATAAGAGGAAAGCGATCTAAAAGCAGGGGATTAGCATAAAGCATGATGGAAGTTGCGGGTGGCGTCGGTATTTGCAGTAATTTGCGGAAGGGGGATGTTGTAGGAGTATGGGGGGAATTGCCTTCATATCTTCAACAAGATGAATATATAGCTGCAGCAATAAAAACCACCGCGTTCAACGATTATGAACATAATCAGAGCTGGCCTAGTCTTGCTTTGTATAGAATAATGACTTTGCTTTACAGCAAAGAAACAACAACAACTATGCAAAACATGTAATACAGCAGCTAGTGTTGATGGTACACGACGCTGGGTTCAAAAACTGTATGTAAAACATGTCTGAAAGTGTACATGACATCCACACACATGCATCTCTTTGGCTGCGATTCTTTATTCTGTGATGCATTCCTCAAGAAGAAGTCGAACATGCCTGTATGCCTGTATGGTCGCCCTTCCCCAACTCATTGCCTTAATACTCCTTCCCTTTTACCTCTACCCCCACTCTACCTCTGTGTGCAAATTAGGGTACGACGACAGCTCCCCTTAAAAACTGCCTCTGCTATACATTGTACATGCATCTCGCAGCTGCTGCTCGTCGTGTGAGTGGATTCGAATGTATGAAAAGTGCTGGTACGCTGCCAGGAGCATAATGAAATCTTGCTTTAAACCGTTTTAGTTATCCTTTGAATTTGTCGCTTCTCTTGTTCCTGTTCAGGCACAACTACTTGCTTTTCTTTCTTTTTTGCTCTCTCTCTCTCACACTCCTTTTGTCTGTTTCTAAGCGTTTACACTACCGATTGCTGCTACTGCTACTACGTGTTGATAAAGACAATGGCAAGCGTCATTGTAACTTTTTCGTGTTTGGTTGCAAGGTAAGAAACAATAAAACATAGACAAATCCGGGTCGGGCGTTTATTTACAAGTAGAATTGTCGATCCTCCTCCATGGCGTAACGGTCTATCATGCTATTAGCATTGTCATTATATCATCTCAAAAGAAAGGATGAAGTTTATAAACACATGTTTGTATCGGTTATTTAGATTATCGAACAGCAACAACAACAATTCGCAGCAATACAAACACTTGAAAAATTTGGATCAACTTGTCACATATGGCCAGCGTTTATATTTGGAAGGCGAATACGAAGAAGCCTATCGTTTGTTTTTCAGACTTGAACAATGTCAGCCACACATAAAAACCACTTGCAGACGATACCAGGTCCAATGCTTGACTGAATTGGCCTATTATACACGAGCCTTGGCCACGTTGGAATCTTTCATCTCACCAAGAGCAGCATCGGGTTCAAAGGCAACACACAAGTCAGCATCGTCACACTCTCCTTGTTCCTTAGATTGGTATATTTTGGGAAGCGATATCTGTTTTGCTCAGGGCAACTATGCAGCCGCGATTGAATGGCTGCGTCGCGGTTGTCAACAAATGGCACCCAATGACGATACAGTGCAAGAAGCGATCACTTTACGAGAACGACTTGCTTTGGAAAAATTGGCCCGATCAACAAAAGGATCATTAACAACTACACAACACCAAAGACGAGGAGTTGGACATTGTAGTAATATCAGTGAAAATAGTCGGCGAAGGCGGCTACAGCAGGACAGTATGCAACCACAACGCCAACTACAAAGACAGAAAGAAAGGGAACAGTCGACAATACGGATCGATTTTGTAGAAATGCTCCCCTACGACGTCACGAGTGCGATTTTTCAAATAATGTCGTTTGAATGTATCGTCCAGTGCACTTGGGTATCACGGCGTTGGCATACGTATCTCATCGAAAGCGTACATCTATGGCAAGATCTCGAGTTCTCCTACAATGAAATGCCCGTTGAACCCGGATCCTTATGCCTTTATCTATCTCGCTTGAATGGCGCTCCACTGAAACGTATAAAGATACACCATGAATGTGTGGATGGGGATGGGCTTTTAGGAACGTTGTTGAATCATACATCCTTGCGATTACAGGAACTCGGTAAATACTTTCTCCTTTTTTTTGTCTATTAATCTTACAATATTCCTTGTGCAAGTGGATACAAAGAAATGTGACGGTCATATTAACACGCATCATCTTTTACTCTCTCTCTCTCCTTGAATAAATAAAAACAAACCTGGGTAGACTTATCCGAAGTAGTATGCACGCCATCCTTATTCTATGACTTGCTAGCGCATGTCGGACCATCACTTCGCGTGTTGCGGTGGCGGGGACTTATTCTTAAACTCGGCAAAATCATTGACTGTGTTGCAGAATCATGCGTACAGCTCAAGCATCTTGAAGTCCGTTCGTGCTTTGTCTCAGATACGCCTTTCGACAGCGAGACACGTTCTTCCTCCCTCCTGGACCATTCCAGCGGATATTTCCCAAGGTCTTTCTTTGACAAAATATCTGCACTCAAGCCATTGTCCATTGATACGTTGGATTTGGGCGGTATCCATGAACTGACCATGGTACAACTCGCTCGGATCTTGCACCGAAGTCCAAAGATCGTCAATCTCACTCTAGAGAACTGCATCCTGGATATCGTGTCCGTCGCCAATGTGTTATTCCATAGTTGTCCTTTACTTCAACGGCTCCGGTATTCGCGCCATCGATATGCACAGCAACACGAAGCAGAAGGAGGAGAAGATGATGTAGGAAACAGCAGTAATATGATGAGTTGGTCATTAGCGTCGTCAACATCAATAACTACTGCTGGAGGACGGGGAGCAAGGCACTTGCCCCTGACGGCAATGGCCAGAAAACACGTGGGGAAAGCCTCGTCAGTTGTCGGAAAGAGGTCTTGGCGCGAGATTACATTGGCCAAGGCGCAAACTACAACAGATGCCGTAATCCAGCGCTTCATAGGTCAATCTGATCTGACACGACTCGAGCGACTCGACTTGACAGGCAACACAAATCTTTCAGACAAGGCACTACAAGGCGTCTTTACGTTAACAAAAAATACCAATTTGATGCACTTGCGGACATTGTGTTTGGGCGGGTGCACGGGGTTCACAGAACAGCAAACATTGTTAAATATTCTCAAGGCGGGTCCGATGCTAACGCACATTGACGTTGCAGAGTCACCGGCAGTAACAGATATGGTGCTAGATCAGATTACGGATGGATCCAACGCGGCATTACACACCGTGTGTATTGCTGGGTGTCGATCCATCACAGACGCAGCTGTCAGGAGACTGGTAGACGTACGGAGAGACACGCTGGTCAAATTGGATGCGAACAGAGCTTCAATCTCTGTAGAGACGAGTGGTTACATAATGTGTAAATTAAAATTATCTATCTAGTAATACAGTATATCTTCTCTAAAACAGCCTAAATCAACATTGACGTGTGTCTGTTTCTTTGTTATAATCTCTATGGCAAGCAACAAATCAAAAACTCACCATCTATCACATCACGGCGAGCACAGCACAGCACAGCACAACTCCGCTGCTGGTTCGGTTCCATTCATTGAAAAAAATCAAGCGAACTGGAGAGAAAAACGTGTTGCTGGGATTCTTCTGCTTCTTTCCATAATCTGTTTATCTGCAGTGATTCTTCCTTTCTTCTTGTTTATATTGTAAAGAACACCACCATCGAAAGAGAATATATCAAAGCGCTCGATTTATAAGCACCGTCTCTCTTTTTCTTTATTTTCTTCTTTCTTTTCTTTCTTTATTTCTATAAAAGAAACACCAATCTTGGGCTCTCCTTTGCTGGACTTCCTATGGTCAACCGTCTCTTTAGCTCTTTAAACATCACCAAGTCAACAAGATCATGTCATACGAAAGGGAAAATGAAGCAGCTCTCGGCAGCTACTCTGCTTTGCACGGACACTCCTTGCAACAAGTGTACAATTCGTCATCGGGGACTCCTCTAAATCTTCAGCGACCGACGACACGCAATGGCTCGCCTGCACCTCCGCCCACCGCTTCTTCACCATCGGTTGGAGGAGCAGGAAACGGCTATCCTTCATTTGCAATGTACCCCAATAACTCTTTTGCTCGATTCCCTGTCTCCATGAATGTTGGTGCTGGTGGAGGACAGCAGCAACAACCGCAACAAAACCGACAACAGCAAAAGCTCTCACAAGCAACACCCACTTTAGCAGCAGCACAACAACACCAACACCAAACTACGAATAATAATACACCAAATCAAGCATCAACACTTGGAGGAGGATCCACGAACTCAATGGCTTCCGACTTGACCGCACAACTGGCAGGCAACTCAACACACCTTGCTCGTCAGCTTACGTATGCACAGATTTCCCGTCAGTCTGCATCGCCGCATCACCATGCTCGTACAGCAGCTGCCATGGCGCGCAATGCTCCTGTCGCCTCTACCGTCACTATCACCGATCCGAATAATCCCTCCAAATCGTTCAATGGACTAATGAAAGGAGGAATTGTCAAACACGATGAAGACAGTGGACGAGGAAACAAATTGCCGACTCACAACAACAACAATAACAGCAATGGTTTACAACAAGCAACACTCGTTCCGCAAACGTGGACGACGTTGGACCTGGGCGGCATGGGTCTCAAGAACCTTTCACCGGCACTTTGCAACTATACCTTCTTGACGACGCTTTATTTGAACTACAACAATCTGACACATCTGCCATCCTCCATTTCCAACCTCGTAAGCTTGAAAACGCTCGACGCTTCAGGCAACAAGCTCACATCGATACCTCCCGAAATGGGTCTTTTGATCAATTTGCGTGAACTGCTGTTGTTTGATAACAATATCACTGATCTGCCAAATGAAATGGGATCTTTGTATCAGCTCGAGACGCTTGGATTGGAGGGCAATCCTGTTCAGCCAGAAATCAAGAATATTTTGATGAAGGACGGATCGGCTGCTGTTATTCTCTCCTTGCGGGAAAATGCTCCAGGTAAAAAAGAATTAGAAAGAAATAGTGTTTCTTTGTTATATGATTTGCTCATACACGGTAATTGCATACGATATCAGTGGGAATGCCACCTCCTCAACGCGAATGGATTACGGTTGAGAGTAGCTCTTCTGAAGAAGATGGAGGTAAGTTTATAAGTTGTCATGCTGCATGACAATGAAAATTTCATAAGGGGTGAAGTAATGATAATAGGAGAGTAGGCATCATTTACTGACATATGTTGTTTACTTTGTTGCACAATAGATACATTCTCTGTTTTCTGTTTCAATATTCTGTGTCAAAAGTACGCTACTGCTCAAGCATACGGCTACACGCCATCATGGGCATTATCATGGGATTATCGTAAGGAGCTGATTCTATCTGAAATCCAAAGCCGGAATGCAGATATCATTTGTCTCCAGGTGAATACAACTTTCAAACTCTTAAATACGTGTTTCACTGTGGTTGCCATGGCGACAAAGAGATAAAGAGACAAAGTTGCTTAAAGTCGATATTATAGGAATTGGCATACAATCAATATGAAGAATATTTCAGGCATGAGTTTCGGGAACGTGCTGGCTACGACAGTGTGTTTTACCCTAAATCCCGTGCAAAGACAATGTCTGATAAGGAACGAGGAGAAGTCGATGGTTGCGCCACTTTCTTCAAGTCATCCAAGTAAGCCTCTATATTAACTTTGTCGTAGAGATCGTTCTTATATTCGAAAAACAGACAGCTAACATTTGATCGGGCTACTAGATTTGAACTTATTGAAGTGAGCTTACTGGAATACAACCAAAAGGCATTGCAACGCGCTGATTTCAAGAAATGCCCTGATATTTATAACCGAGTAATGACCAAGGACAACATTGCTGTACTGACCATGTTGGAGAACAAGGACACGTTAGCACGAGTACTTGTTGCAAACTCGCATATCCATTGGGATCCATCCTTTGCCGACGTGAAGCTTGTCCAGGTCGGCATGCTAATGGACGAAATAGACAAGTTCGCCACCAAGCATCTGAAACCGCCCACATCATCACCCACTGGCGTAGTATATCCTAATACCTCCAAGCTCCCTACTATCATTGCCGGCGATTTCAATTCGTCACCGGATTCGGGTGTCTATGAATTTTTGTCAAAGGGAGCCGTCAAGCAAAACCACGCAGATTTTGGCGAGTATCTCTATGGCGATTACACTACCGATGGCTTGTCGCACAAGTTGTCGCTAAAGAGCTCCTATGCCCAGATTGGCGAGTTGCCCTTCACAAACTACATCGCTGACTTCGAAGGTGTGCTCGATTACGTTTGGCATTCAACGAACACATTGGACGTCCTGTCGCTCCTTGGTCCAATAGATAAGGATTATCTCAGCAAAGTGGTTGGCTTTCCCAATGCACACTTTCCATCCGAGTAAGTCTTGCTTTAGATAGTGAGCGTGCCATCGGCAACAGCAGCAACAAAAAAGATGTGAGATGACTGACAGATAGCATTTGTGTCATTACCAGCCATATCCCTATTATGGCAGAGTTCAAGCTTCGAAGTCCACGGCCTGAAAAGAAGCTGGAAGAACCTAACTTTGGAAACGCAAGCCGCCGGCAGCCTGCTAAAGAAAACAAAAAGGATCATTCGAATAGATAGCAATAGTCAAAAAAAGATCTTTTCATATGTTGTTTTTTGGTTTTTAAGAAACGTACACCGTTCTTGTAAAAGAGAGCATGTTCGTTTTTGCGTATTTGTTATTTTTTTCTTTCGGTCATCATCACCTTACTATTTCCTCCTCCTACCATCCCAATCCCCCCGGCAAATTCCCTATCTCGCCCGTCATTCGTCCTCTTTTACTTTTTTATTCTGTCTGTTTTGCTTCTCGTTTAGTACATACTGTCTTCCACTCACACACACACTCTCTCTCTTTTCTCTTTTGTTTGGATGTTTTGGGTATACTTTTCTTCACGTGTAAATGACTTCTTTCTTCCTTTTCCTCCTTCTCAAATTACAAAATCTGATTTTTTCCATCTTTCTCATCTTGGTTTTACTGTGGGCTCTTGCATTGCTAACACGCACAGGTAGCGACGTACTCAAACACTGGTATTTGAAGGAAAAACATAGAAAAAAAAATCCGATTTACAGAAGGAATATATTATATTTATGTATTTCGGTCCACGGTGTGTCTGTATCGTCTTAAACGAACATCTCTCTATGCAGTAACACCCGTTTTGATCCAATGATCATGAATATGTACAAGGTCTGGTATGATTTTGCTCTCGATTTCGACGTTCTCTTTCAATTCTTCAGGTGACAATGACAACACACGCTCCTTGTCGTTCATGATCATTGTTACTGTCTGCTTGCGAGTTGCCAGCATGTTACCAATCACAACTTGATGGCCATATCGGTTCAATGCTTGTCGCGCCTTTGGTACTAATAAGTTGACGTCCGTTTCGAGCTACAAAGTGAAGGTGGGGTCATTGGATTAGCTTTTAACGCTCAGGAATCGTCATCCCTCTCATCAACACTTGGAGATCACGTTTCTTGTACCTTGAAGGAAACGATCATGCCTTTGGCTGCCCAGTTGCTAACTAACGGCTTCAAAAATTTGGGCACTTGATCCAATGTCAGCGTCAGTGCACCACCTCTTGATTGAATCTTGTGCTCTGCCTACTTGGCCAAATTATACAATAAATATCTTGACTTCCTTGGAACAACTTGAAAAAAAAAAGAGAGAAGACATTACCAGTTTCTGCTTTGGAATAAAGAAATCGCTCACAGCAGCAGCAAGATAGTACATTGCCTTTTGCTGTAAACGGGCCATGATCCGTGTGCCGCTCTGCAGCTTAAACAGATAATCAGATAAGGTGACAAAGTCCAACAGCAAGATTCGATTGGATTCTTTGGCCTTGTGATATTTCAGCAGGATTTTGTTCATTTCGCCCGCGTATTTAGGATCCACTAAGTTTGAGTAGCGATCACAGTATGAGCATCTTCATTACCAGAGTCATGTCATCATCCCAGGAAAAGAGGGCCACTTCCATCCCATATCATCTTCAACATTTGATATACTTTACCACATACGGATCCGTCTTCTTTGGGCAGTAAGTAGTCCAAAAAATTATGCGCCGGGTTATGCGTGTAGTGGCGATGAAATGGCTCCAAACTGAACTGTCGATGCATAAACACGACAGCATAGCCTGCATCTAGAAAGTATTCAGCCGAGACTGCACCACGATTACCATTGCTAAAGTTATCAATGAACCGAACAGTTTGATTCTCTAGAGGAACTGTTGTGCCTCCACTCTATAATGTTTTTAGGAGGTTTTGGTATTAGAAGGCGTTAGTATTGAGCTGACTATATTTGCAGTGACGGTTTCCAGCTTTTATCACCAGTACTACTATTCTTGCTACTCCCCCCCCCCGCCCCCCACTCCCCACTCGTTAGACAGGTAGGAAACTTACGGTGATTAGAACCATTCGAGTGCCAACCTTTTCGTGATGATCCACAAAAGCTGTCAGCTTTTCTTCAAACTCGCCCAAATTGGCTGGCGGTCTGTTCATGCTAAAGTAAACTTCCGGGTCAATCACGCCTTGACCATTGTCTAAAAGTTGCTCTTCAGAATTCGCTGTTGACGCAGAGGTTGCGGATGCAGGCATCGGATAAGTTTGTTGAACAATCGTGTCTCGTTCTTCCATTATTACTAAGTCGATATGTATCGTCGCGGAGTGTAGTACACCGCCAACGCCGGTTCTCACGACAAAAATGATTTAAAGCTCGGCCTTTCCTTGCCCCGCAATCAGCTACGTCAAACAAAGTAAATAGGCGGCAAAACAATCAATTTGTTCACTTGGGGCGTATACTCTGTTAGTAGCAGTTAATTTGATCAGCTTTAAATAAGGGTTTGTCTCCTTGTCCTTCCATCAGTTTCTGTATCGTGAGAACGGTACCAGAACTTGATGACATTTAGTAAGAATCATGCCGGCAATTTCCCGATACATGCGTAGTAGTGATTAATACAACAGATTACCTTTGTTGTATGACATAGGCGATATATCGGATGAAAGTTCGTTCTTTTCAATTTTATCCAACAATGGTTTGAGATACACGAATATCGAAGCTACGAGATAAGCTAATTTGACCGTTGTGCAATGACCGGTGCATACCCCAAAAAAACTGAGAACAGATGATCCTCCGGTAGAGACGGTCAATATATCACACAGTAACCTATGCATTCTAGTACGTTTATTTGTTTCCAGAGCATTTGTTTGCGACCTATCCATCCATACTCGTGTCAGCCAACCTGACAGATATCATACAAAATTGGGCAATTCCAAATCAAGTAGCCCATTGAATGCTATAGTTAATAGTTGTCCATCTCACAGACAGCCCCTGCTGTTGAGCAATAAACCTTCAAATACGGCATAACTCGAATTCCTGTTTCAATATGCAGCCTCTGTGTATGAACTTGCACAGCCATCTTGTCTGGCAACGATGTTTCCGGGCCAACACTCTGCCTCTTCCTTAGTGTGTTATTACTGTACAAAGAACAAAAAATTGAAGGAAGCTTTTAATTTGCATTATATGAGAATATGGATCTATGTATGTGTTTTTGTTGTTGTTGTTTTATGCAGAAGCCACGCGCTTTTTGTATGGATTTCGAAGTTCTTTGACAAGTCCTTCAGGAAGAGGCGGTACGTCCAAAGAAAGTCCACTGAAGCTTTCGTGAATGGCGTTTTCGGGCGATGTGCTGAATTTTTCGTCTTTGATGATAAAAGAAATTAAAAAGGTATGATTAGAACTTTTGCCTCGTTTTACCTTGACAGCACACGCTCTCCTTCTTCCAGTTCCTTCTATACTCTTTGTTTAAACAAAACGTACCACCACTTCTCTCGTCATATTTCTGTGATGGTTTGGGAATTTCGACATCTGTGCCCTGAACAAATCGAGTCCATCTCTTTGCTACTCGTCCGTCATCCAAAGTCTTTTCCACCTGTCGACGTTCGATACGTGTAGGAATTCTACGTAACAACGTTCAACGTTGTCGTAGTCGTAAAATTGAGTATAAGTATGGACACCTTTGCCCAATATCCAGGTCGTTGCCGTTGTTGTTGGTGCTGTTGATGAACTTACTGTGTATCAGGATGTAACAACATGACGTTCGAGTAGTGGATAGGCATTTCTTTTCTCATGATACCCTCGGGAGCGCCAGGCTGTTGGGGGACGTGCTTCTTGGCCTACATGTCGTAAAAGCAGAAAATGCATGTTGGTGATATATCCCGTAAGACATGAATTCGGGTTTTTTTGACAGCTCAATAGTGACAAGTAAATATTGGCTTTACCAATTTTTTGCCTTCAACGATAACCGTGTTCGTCTGGCGATTCACCGACTTGATTTCGCCAATGGTATCCTTATCTTTGCCAGCAATAATGGCAACCTATACAGTTAGAAATAGAGAAATGAGTCTGTGGGTCAGTAACCAAGAGGACGCGGAACAGTTTTTTGTTTATTTTTCTTCTACTTCAAATTATCAGAGTACGATCATACCTTGTCCCCTCGAACAATGTTCCACTGTGTAATTTTGTCCTTGGGATTCACCCATTTTGGTTTGGACAAGTGACGAGAACTGATTCCCTGTGCTTTGAAACGGTGCATCGTTTATGTAGAAAAAAAATATTTGAAGAAAGGTTGCAGGTTTCAAGGATTGGGCTGGGCTGGGCTGGGCTGGGTTCTTCTGTGGTTAATATCATGTGACTGTGATATATAGTTTAGCGCACTTCAAACATGAACTTCCTATTAAAATTGCGTGTTTCTTGATGAGTCTGCTTTTGATATGAACAAGGCTTGGTCTAAAAAAGGTACGCATGCCATTGTTACCAGGCCTACTACGAGAGAAAATACAACATCTATACTAGGCGCTATCTCTGCTGCAGGTTCGATTACAGTTGGCGTTAAAAGACCAAGACCCACTAGGACGAGAAAAGCTGAAGGATGCGCCGTTAGTTCAGGAGCAGTAAAAGGTCACTATATTAGTTTATTAAAATGGCTCTAATGAAATGGATAAGCACCCAGAAATGAAAGGTCATTATGTAGTCATAGATAATGCACCTATTCACACGCATGAAATCTTAAAGAAGTATATTGAGTGCCGTGGTCATAAAATGTGTGTATCTTCCTACGTACTCTCCGGAGCTTAGCCCAATCCAAAGGGAGTGGGGAGTGACAAAGAGTAAGATTAAGCGGCATAGATTTTTGCAGGAAGATACGCCTGCAACAGTGTAGAGAAAAATCACTTAAAGAATGCTGGGAAAATGTCGAACTAAAGAGTCAGTTTAATATCCTCTAATGACTTCAAACAAACAAAAGAATCATGCAAAAAGAGAAAAAATTGCCGGTTGGGATATTCTATTGGCAGAGAGAGAAGAGCACTATGCTTCAAAGGACAGAGTGCTTATTTATTTCTGGTGCTGTCGATAAACTGGATATAGTAGAATAGTGTTGTATGATAGTATGATGAATGAGAAACGTACGGGTGAGTGTTTTTTTGTGGGATTTTTGCGGGGTTTAATAAACTCGTGTTCCTGAGGAAAAGCACTGCAGTAACCTGGATCAAAACCATCCCTTCCCCTTTATTTGCGACCATGTCTTTCACGCGTGTTCCGAACGGCAACATTGTTTAACACACTCAGATCCTCAAAGATGATGAAGGCCATTTGGTGTACGACACAGACATTGGCTGGCAACTTCTCCGAAAAAGCTACGATCACCTCAAGCTAGGCATTAGCGTCAGCAAGGTTTGCCTTGGTGCTGTCCAATGTACCAAGGAAGAAACTGGTGAGACCTGGGTTCACCAAGGCAAACATCAGGAAGCAATTGAAAACAGGCTGTACTTTCTGCTCAGAGAAATCGCCTTTGATTCGTGTTGCATGTGATGCAAAAGTCAACATGAAATTTACTGGCAATGGCGGCAAGTTGACTCACAAGGGCGCACACACACGTACATACATCCTACATATTTACATATAGAATAAGAACATGAATAACCAATATAGCGCTCAAAAAACTTCAATTGATAAGATACAGAGTAAGTTCACGGTCTTTACTGCCATACTGTTCTTTTGCTGTCGAATGGGATAGATAGTAGAACAAGAAGAGTGAATAATATGATGGTAGCAATGACTATACAAAAATTGTCAGAAATCGTACTTCAATAAAATCCCAATCCCACAAAAGATGATATACAACAAAAAATATCCCACAAAAAATGTTCGACTTTAATCCACAAAAAATGTTCGACTTCAATAATCCCACAAAAAAAGACCACACCCGAAACGTACGTACGAGTTTTTTTTCTAAAGGAACTGAACAGCACATGCGTACGGGTTTTTGTCTACCCATCAGTTTTCCCTTTTGGACGACCTTGCCAAATAACTAGCTATTGTCATACTTTTCGATGTAAAACTGCTCATTAAATGAGTGCAATGGGTTTAATTACGCTGTTCTTTTCGAGATCTTATATGATTCTGTTCTGCCGCTATGCATTAATGCCATATATAAGTTTTGCATTCGCTTCTTTTCTTTAAGTTCTTGGCCTTTTCCCAAGGTCCTCACTGATTTTTTTTTGAGTGCCAACACGACATCATTTCCAAAAGCACACGACATGGTTTCTAAAAAAATACGACTTCCATCTCTGGAAAATGCGAAATGCGAAATTGATTTTGAACAATCAACGACATCGATTTTTATTGGCTAGCAACACCAATTTTGACTACCTGCGACATCACTTGTTGGAAGCACTGTACGTCGTCAACAAACGGATTGATTGTAAGAAAACTAGGTCATAATAGAGAGCAACAGTATAACGGTAAGAGCGTTGCTACAGGCATAATAAGTTAGGGAATGTAATGTGTTGCCTCGACTTTATGTATAGCGTATTTAGAATTAATGCATAGTCCATCGAGGAAGGATGGCATCTACCCTTTTGCACTTGTAAAGATGTTATTATCGCATACCGCAAGGAGCGTTTTGAGCTGATCAATTTGGGTTGGATTACGTGGTTCCCTCACCGTCCGAGAACCTAGTGACCGTAATCACTTTAAAATCCGCGACTTGCCTCTCTTGATTACCATATATGGAACACATTCGTTTATCAGATCTCGCATGTTGCTGGGCAACCCAACGCGATGGAATCATGTTGTAGCAACAAATTTAATAAACACACTACTAGCTCGTTACACCTTTCTCTCCTCCGCACCAAATAACTCTGCCAATAATTTTAGGGCATTGAGACCCTAGATTAAATTAAATAGATCTAGTAAAGAGTAAGAGAGAAAAGCTTATGCGTTTATTGAGAGGAGTGGTATCTTGGTGAACGGCACGAATTGTGATAAGTAGTAAAGAAGATGGTATACTAAAACAGATGAAACAAACAAAAAAGAACTGTACAATAGTAGTAAAAAAGAGAGAGTTATCTACAGGAGAATAGTGGTGAAGCAAATAAACGAAACAGAAAGACACAAAAAGAAAACATGGTATGAAATAGCGAAAAGAAGAAGGAACGAGTTGAATGTCATCGTCGTTGGTGTTGTTCGGAAGCAGCAGCAGCTACAGCAGCCTCGATCCAATCAATGGATTGATTTGTAGCAGAATTTGAAGAAGGTGAAGCGCTGTTGACCGATTGTGAGACAATTGAAGGGATATCCTTGTTGTTCTTCCCCAGACAACTTCGCCAACATGCCGTAGAACAGAACCGAACACGACGTACAACTGCTGGGTGGCCCTTGTAACTCTTGACTTGCACTGATGTGACCCACTCGTGAACGAACGGCTCCTGACATGCCACACAAAACCTATATCTGCTTTCCAAGTCTTCAGCCAAGTGCGGAGGCAGGTATTCCAAAGGAACTTTTAAACTGTGTTTGAGAATGGCACGCGTCGCGATTTCTCGTAATGAATGGATCAGATTGTGTCCGTCATTGGGTGCATGTGTATTGGGTTCGTCTTCTTCTTCTTGCTCAACATAGTCAAGTTCATTGCCGTCTTCGTCGTCTGAGTTACGCGGTGGTGTAATGGTGCCCACAAGCGCTTTGGGTGTGCCTGGTCGTGAGCCACGAATGTTTAATTGACGTGCATGATACGATAGTTCGCGATCGATGCCTGCGTCGTCGTCATATCCTTCGGGGAATTGGTGATGGTGGAAATGATGGCGATGGTGATGATGGAGTGGGTGATCGTGGTGGTTGTGAGGGTGACGGCTTGATGATCGCCGTCGTTGTGGTCGTAGATAGGGTGGTGGTGATATGTTTCGACTAAGATTATTATTGTTGCTGATGATATCGTTACTATTGCTGCTGTTGCTACTGCTACTGCTACTGCTTGTGCTGGAACTGGAACTGGAACTAGCGGATGGAGGTGCGGATTGGTTGATTTGCACTGCTGCTGCAACGGCTGCAGCGGGCGTCGGTACCGAGACTTTGGATGCGGGTTCTTCACAGCCCATACCATGGGGACCACAACGATCACGACCCATCAATGTGGGCGCCATGGGCACTGCTCGTAGAGTCATTTGGCGAACAATCTGTGCATACGCGTCATTATCCGCAAGATCACAATGTCCCGGATGGGTCAGCGGATTGCCCGTGATCAGCAACGTCGTACGCATCCGTTCGAGGATATCAGCAGGCATGATGCAGAGCAAATTCTCGCTCAGATCAAACAACTCTAACTGCGTCAGCTGGACAAGATCTGCCGGCAGTGTTGCCAGATGATTTTTGGATACGTTTAATGTTCTGAGCCGTGCACATTGCGCAATGGATTTCGGGATGGTGGAGAGCTGGTTGTCGGATACGTTGAGATGGACCAACGTAGCAATGTGCATGTTGCACGGCAATGAACCCAGATGGTTATGTGATAGATCAAGCTCCTCTAGGCAGCGCATGTCGGCTATCTGATCCGGAATAAAAGTAAGGAGGTTACCCCCAAATACAGAGCCAAGCTGCAAATGTTGCATTTTCGTCCACAAGCCTAGGTTTGCATCGATCCGTCGAATGCGATTGGCGGCGATGCGTAGTGTCTTTAAGTGCGGCAGCTGTGCTGACATGTCGGCTGGGATGCACTCTAGCCGGTTTTGCGATAGAATTAAGACTTCCAGCTGGCTGAGGTTGTACAGGACGGGTGGAACGGCGGTAAGCATGTTGGATGATGCGTTGAGGATCTTTAGGTGTTTAAGCATGGCGAGGTTGGTTGGAAGATGGCTGAGGCGATTGCGCGAAATATCGAGTTCGACGAGGTCCTGAAACCGTGCTTGTGGTTGCAACAGCGTTGCCAGTGGCGGTAATAAGCTGTCCAGCTGCTCTGCAAGTTCGTCTGCCTCCATCCCTCGTCGTCGAAGCATCAACAAGCCGTCGTTGCGTATTTCTCGTCTCGTCGTCTGCTTCTTTTGTATTCGTACTTGGCCTTCTTTGGTTTGCGATTCACTTTTCCGCCTGCTGCTGTTATCGGCGGTGCTGTCGTTGCTGCCGCTGTTGACGTTAATGTTTCGTACATGATGTCCCAGTGGTGCCAATGAGGGATCGTCAATGCATGACTCAATGTCGACGAGAGGATCAGAGTGGCGTGATGGTTGCTCATGGGGAGATAGAACACCTTGCAGTACCTTGCCACCCATGAGATAGGGTATTATGGTGGGCATAGTGCGACGTATAGGAGGAAGTGTGTGTGGAAGAAGGCACCCGTTTGTTTATGTTAGGGCCATCAGATAAAGGACGTCTGTGCCCCCCCGTTTCCCGCTTGGGGTTATATACTTGTACGATTCGGATTTTTGAAAATTATCAGATTTTTTTTTTTCGTGCAACCGATCACGGGACATCACCTCAGTTTGTATCCTCCTTTTCTTTCGCTCTTTACTTCAATTGCTTCCTCCCTGGTCCGCCCGTGACTCATCTCGAGTGTACACCCAAACAATGCCCCTCGACTACTTCCATCATCCATCATTTCGACTTTCTATGGGTTAGTGCGCCAATCACACCAGACACTTTTATTTTGTAAAAATTTTACGGCAGGGTCCGTTTGATCTCTGCTGAATCACGCGCAGACGGAAAAAACAGCGTATCATCTCCGCACACCTTATTCCGCACCTGAATGAACGAGTCTGCAATCTAGCATACTGTATGTAGGCCACTTGAACCACCAAGATAGTGCATTCTCGATTAAAAGCATATACCAGTTGCGGCAGCATCTGATAAAATTTAAAGGATGATCGTGCATATTTGTGTACATGCACTATTGCTGCTGCGTGCAAATGATGCATTATTAGGGAGTGATAAACGATAACACAAATTGTAAAAAATTAGTCTTCCGAAGTTTGTTGCTCTTGTTATAGGTAAACTGACAGAAAGATTACGGAAGCACCCAGAGCCTTCATCATAAGATAACGGAGGCAAGATGTAACCGTTTTAGACTTCATACAAACAGAACGTGGGGCAGAAATGGGGAAGGGACTGATAAACTTGATCTATTCGAAAGTCAACAAAGAAAAACAGGACGAGTCCCCATCATCCTAGTAGGTCACAATTTTGATAATACCATCATCATGAGCTTTTAAATGAAAAAGTATGCCGCTACAATAATTTATTTATCATTTAAAGCAAGCATGCATGTAAGGATTGCTAAGCTTGGATATTTACGGTAGATAGTGGTCTGATACGTACATACATAGTCGGTTGTGTCCGTATTAGTTGTAGTAGCATGTCGATCATCCAGCCTGCCGATAATGACAGCTCATCGTTCCTGTCTAGATCTTCTCCTTTGTAACAAGATGGGATACACTGATAAAATTTTGTGCAATTCACTGAAGCAATCAATGCATCAAAAGTAACGATGATGGTGCAATGCCCTTGTTTAGAAGTACACCGCTAAATGGATGGTCTAGGTTGAAGGCACCTTGATTTTTAAAATAGTGATGGGTAGTGACTTCCAAGTTTCGCCACTACATGTAGTATCCACGAATTTTAGATAATGCATTTTGCAGTAAACGTGACAGTCAGGTTCCCACTGTTTATTGTTGTTGTTTTCTTTTCTAGTGTCAACGAATCAAGGGACAAGTGTTTCGAAGAAGATAATAGTAAATGAGATGTTCGAAACAAAGCATTATGCGGAGAGAGAGAAACCGTACACGCAACCATAAACGTAATATCCATCATCATGTTGCATCTTGATCTGATAATATTGTTTTTGTTGTTCCTGGAAATGCTTGTTGTTGTTACTGTGGTATGTTAACCGAATCAGACATCTGTAGTTTTGTTTGCAACACAGGTTTGACTAAAGATAAAGCAGAAGGATAAGCTAAAGTTTTCGTCCCGTTTACTTCTGGTAAAAGCCCCTCTCAACATAAATTAGATGGCGTTGGAGAATAGAGAATATACTACACCCGCTCACCAGGAATGCAGTAAATTCGTAAATTTCCTAATAAATTCTTCCTCTTTATTGGCTGGTCATTTTGCAAAGTACATTTCACACCTGCTCTTGATTTGATTTTGTAAAAGATTGGTTATTATCATCATATGTACGTGGATCTAATTGACGAGGTAAACATGATTCGTGCAGAACGATTTTCCGGAGAACAAAGATTCGCTCTTTCTCTCACGCTTGTCGAGAAAATCCCCCGGAATCATACATGACAATATCGGAAAAGCAATCAGAACCGCAAAGGCAAAGCAACAAACAAGTAATTAAAAAAATTTACTTCTTTATTCCAACGCTAAATGCTTTGCCTCTAATTGGAAACAAATCAACGTTAGAAGTATAGGAGAGCACTATTTCCTATATGTGATATCAATCAGTCCAAGATCAGCAGACCGGGGAAACCAGGGACATTCGTTGATAACGAGAAAATCTCCGACTATCCGTGTAACCACCCCATTGTGTCATTACACACACATACATATCAATCTGCTTATAAACAAGAAGACTGTATTGGGCGGTCAAAAAAAGCATAATTGTCTCCTCTTCCATTCATGAGAAGCTGTGTTTCACCGGTCTTGAAGTTGTTTGGTTTTGATTGTAGCTTACCACTAGGTATAGCCAATCCACACTACAGCAACGCTACAAGCAAACATAACCAAGTTTGCTAGTGAGGAAGCAAACCCGTTTTACACATCAAATGTGAACTGCTGCCACTCGAGGATGGTTCAGTTTGACTAACCTTCTCCATTGCAACTAGAAGGACTGCTATTAAGTATGTTTCACAAGTACATATTAATCGATTTTATCATTGTTGAGTCGTATAATAGGATTAGTAGTAGTACATATGCGACAATATGCTGAGCAAAAAGTAAATATATTTTACCATTTACAAGGAGCTGCAGTGTATACATTTTTCCCTCGCTAATGCTGCCACTGTACTAGCAGCCCTACCTAGCAGGACTTTCGACTAGTGGTCCGCAAATAAATATAGGTATTAATCTTATACTGATGACTGTAATGCTGCATAAATTGAAGATATATCTTGCGTATACTTGATGGCAGCAATGTTGCTTGACGTGCACACAATGAACCATATAGCAGATAATGCTTGAGCGTAAACAGCGTGACCTACCAAACTCGACGCGCAGTTTGTTGAATAGTTGAGAAAAAGATTTAAAGACGGAAAGTTATAGTGCGTAAGATATGGTTGTAAATGTTTCCACCCATTCAGTGTAAGTGATGGTCGTCTTCTTCATTTGTGAATACTTTATCCGTCACATTCTATGCAAAAAAGACGCGCCGCAGTCTATGAATTCCGTTGATCATATTGATTCAATGTATGATGTATGATATATTACTCGTACAATTTATACGATAACGGTAAAGTAAAGATCGGACAATAGCCAATTATCTCGTTCTTGAGAAAAGGAGAATAAATGTCACAGATTGAACAAGCAGTTTGGTTAAAGAGAGATACAATTAAGAGACACATTTAGACGTTGAGAAAAGAGCAAAATGCATCTGCTCTATGTATGTACCAGTTTGAATGCCGTTCGACACGCGCAAGCGATGGCTTGTTGTAATTGATTATACAGAAAAAGCCTATGTTTCTGCAAACGTCTCAAGAACCTGCTCTGCAATGGTGTCATAACAGTTTATTAAAGTCATAAATGTCAATTACTGGGATATCTTGGATTGTCAGCTCTTCCTTCTTTCTAATCTATATAGATGTCAAAGAAGAGAATATATTGAAAGGAAAGAATTGGGTGAATACGTTATACTAAAAAGTGTTCATGCGGACGTGCATAGTATCGTGTCACTTTGGGCTTCATCCCTCCGGTCTTCCCGAACCGTGCAGCTGATCAACGGAGCTTTATGCTTATTTTGTTTCTTAGGTGCTGTCCTGGTCTGTTGCTATAAAATTCGAGAGGATAGCGAAATGCTTCTTCTTATTTAAGTTTTTACTGTTTCCGCGGATTGTTACTAGCAGTACGTATACGAACAGTTACCAAGCAGCCTTTTGGTAGCGGTAGTGATAAGGGAAGTTGTTGCCAGTAGCAACAACGTACAATTAAAGCTGTTGTGACAGTGGAGCAAAATTTATTCAAGGACATCGCTCTGGGCCAAAAGAATATACACCGAATGAAACGCGTCCGGCAGTCTGGATTCTAAAAGTTCGAGTTCGGAAAGAGTTGGTCAATTCAAGCGCGTTTACGCCTCCTGTTCCTTCTTTCAAAGACTGATCGCTATAATTTGAATGACAACAGGAATCAGAAAAACTAGACACAATGCTGGCGGCGGCAACTTGAAACTTTTGCATAAAAAGTTCACCTCCATTCCTGAAGGTTTGTAATGCTCTCTTCTTTTTATTTTTCTTAGTAAAGCGAAGAAAAAAAGGGGGGCACGAAAGAGTGGGCCAAAAAGGAAAAGTTCATTGTGTTGACAACTTCAAATTGTTGACCCATCGTCATTGTGATTAAATATCCAATTTACTTAGACACAATCAGATCTGTTCTTCGTGATTGCGACAATGACTTTGACAGAGCTCAAGCGTACCTGAAACGTCAAGACAACAAAATACACGAAAAGGGCACTGGCTCGAAGCGAGCTGGTAGCACTTGTGAGTATTTATATAGTGAGAATGCTGAAGTGAGTACTTTCACGAATAGAGTATTCGATTACTGATAGCCACTATCATTCAGCTGAAGATGGTCAGGCACAGAAAAAGAGAAAGAAATCAGGTAAATTATCAGAGTAGGAGAGAAAAACAGTCATATTCCCTATGGGTTAATCAACGCTATTGTTAATGTGTTTATCATCGATTAGAAGGAGGAAGAGACACAGAGCATTTCACGACACCCGCCGATTTGATCGTTGAAGACGAATCATTGGAGGTTATTGGCGAGCAAGATGAACAAGGGGGAGATGATGATACGCCAAATAACGACGACATACGACCTATGCGTACACTGAGCAACTTTTGCCTGTATGATCTAAACAACGACAACCGTTTTGCGAGCATCGACGACATTGGGGTGGAAGGCAAGGATGTTGTAGCATTTGGTGATGTCGCAGCCATCTACGTGGACGATTCGGACGACGAGAATGACGGTGACGATGACGACAACAACAGCAACGACAACAACAACGAGCAGTCCGAAACAGCCAATGTCCAATTGTCCGCCATCTTTTACTGGCAAGTACACTTGAACGACGATGTGCCCGAGCTGTGGCTGTTGACATGCTATGGCTGGTACAAGCTGATGCAACCATCCAAGGAGTATGAAAAGCTATACTTGCCCATCTTTGCACGTACCGTTATCGCTGGTATGGCCGAGGCGGAGCTCAATGACAACCCGAGAGTCTCATACAAAAAATTCGTCGAAAAGCTGGAGGATACGCCCAACATGCTGGACATGTCAATCACTGAAGCCGACGTGCAAGAGAACGCGGATTACATCTATCAAGAGCTGAGCGCCTGGGCGGACGAGACTGGGTTGGATCCGCAAAAATCGTCATTGATCAAGAAGCTCCAGAAACTCTCGGGAATGTCTACAGAGTACCAGCCAAATAACGTGATGATTGTTCGCGGATCAGCAAAGCAGCGATCCAAAAAGGAAGGATACGAGGTGACGAGTGATCCATGCGTGACAAGCCACATTGCATCCGTATCCAAGGACATGTTTGTGCGCAAACTGGTTGAAATCAACGATGCTGCTGAAGAGGTCGAAAAGAACGCGCAAATCCATAATGAACAGAAAAAGGTCATTTATAAAAACAAGACTAAGAATTTGGAGTGGCAGGGCGAGCCAGTCTTCCATGAGGATGATCGCACGTATTATGGCTCAGTCACGGTCGATGGCGAGTTGATCAAGCCTGGTGACTCTGTTTATTTGCGTACTCAGCATGGACAAGATCCGTGGTTTGCTCAAGTGACATCATTGTTTGAGGAGGATGGCGACAAAATGTTCCACGCGCGTTTCTTTTCTCACGGCAAGGAGACGATCTTGATGGAACTTGCGGGTGAGCGTGAACTCTTTTTGTTGGACAACTGCGCTGACAACTTTTTGAACGCTGTCATGGGCAAGTGCAACATCCAGCACATGCACGCCGAAGAGAGGGAGCCGACTGCTTTCCCGATCAAAGATTACTGGTACTACAGGTAAAATTAAGGAGAAAAGGTAGCCTCAATCAATCGTGTGACTTACTGAATGCATGTACTTGTTAGATTGTGGTACGATGCGGAGTCTGCAGTTTTTGAAGATTCACGGCTACACGAAAAGTATGAATCTAAATGCCAGTCGTGTATCGACAAGGAAATCAAATCAACACAAGACACAATAGCCTGGGATGACGATAAACGCGGCTTCCGTATCCGCAACAAGCAATACCACATGTACGACTATGCATACTTGCTCACCGGTCCAGAAGAATCAGCATATGATATTGGCCAAATCATCGATATCAACAAAGCGGGCGTCAAAGTTCAGCTGCTGGAACGGAAAGATACCAACATACTGGACCACAACAACATGGTGAAAGCCCCTCAGAGCGAGCCGTACAAGGACCATCGACTACTCAAGTTCCTAGACAAGACCATTTCCGTTGATTTTGACGAACTCGAAGGTACATGCAACGTTGTTGCCAAGTCGACGGTATCGGACGTCATTGAGTTCAAGAAGGATCCCAACAACTTTTATGTCGATAAGCTCAACAACGAGCAGTGCAGCAAATGCCAACAGGCAAAACAGGAAACGCAACAGCAAGACAAAGAGTTTAGCAAGACCGGCAAGAAGCTTGTTGCACTTGACATTTTCGGTGGTTGTGGCGGTTTAACGTGCGGCATGGACATGACGGGCGTTGTGGATACCCGCTACGCAGTTGAATTCAACAGCAGTGCTGTTGTCAGCTTTGAGCGCAACTTCAAAGACGCCACAGTCTACAATAAATGTGCCAATCTACTGCTACGCCGCGCGATTGCACAGCATAGCCACGGCCAAGAGCTCGAACCCATGGAGGACGAACTCGGACGCAAGCTGCAAGACATGCCCAAGCCGGGCGATATCGACTTCATTTACTGTGGACCGCCATGTCAAGGCTTCAGTGGCATGAACCGCTTTAAAAAACCGGACGAAATTAAAAACACATTGGTGTGCACGGCCCTCAGCTATGTCGACTTTTACAAGCCTTCCTACTTTTTGCTTGAGAACGTCCGTGGTCTAGTCAGCTACAAGCTGGGCGCCGAAAAGATCAAGAACGGGGTATTAAAGTATATTTTACGTTGTCTGACCAGTATGGGGTACCAAGTCCGCTTTGGCATCCATCAAGCAGGCAATCACGGCGTAGCCCAGTCGCGTCGTCGACTGATTGTGTGGGGGGCTCGCATCGGCAAGCAGTTACCGGATTTCCCTGAACCGGCCACTTGTTTCTCGGGCACAACCAATGTAACCATCTGTGTGGAAAACGGTCAAGACAAGACGAGTATCTGTTATTATAATCGCACGGGTAATCGTGCACCTCTGCCGGCCGTGACCGTCGGCGACACCATCTCGGACCTCCCAGGCTTTGAATACAAAAACACACATCATCTGATTAGCGATAACGAAAAGTACAAAAAGATCCGCAATAGCGCTATTGTCAAGCAGCTGGATGGTACAGATACGGTCGTCGGTGCGGAAAAGCAGGCTTATGGCAACCCACCAAAGACGGATTTCCAAGCAGACATTAGACATGGTGCAGATATGCTTCACAATCACGTGACACGCGCGTTTAACGAACTCAACATTGAACGCATCTATAACATTCCCATGAAGCCCGGTGCTGATCATCGATGTAAGGAAATTTTTTTTCTTTAATGACGTGATAGTTTTACAGAGAGGGATGGGATCACTCAATACCTTACGTGTAGTGCTACCCGACGCGTTGGAACCGTGGTGCCTATCGCCCAAAAATGCCGCATCAGCACGCCATGATGGATGGAAGGGTCTCTATGGTCGCCTAGACTTTGAAGGACGCTTCCAGACTCAATTGACTGAAATGAGTCCCATGGGCAAACAGGGAGTAAGTATGTGGCAGTGTGTACTTTTGAAAAAAGAAACCTCCCCCACCAACTTACACGCCTATTATCTTAGACTGTATTACATCCAAACCAACGACGTGTGCTCACTGTTCGTGAATCTGCACGTGTACAAGGATTCCCTGACTGGTTCATATTTGATAGCGCATCCGACAAACCTGCTGGACGTATCAAGGACATGTATCGACAAATTGGCAATGCAGTGCCAGTCACACTGTCTTTTGCATTGGGCAATCGATTAAAGGAAGCTCTGATCAAGGATTATATCAAGGAGTGCAGCAGCAACAACGGCAGTAATGGCAGCACTAAAGAGTCACCCCAGGCACAGGAGATGGAAGAAGATGACGAACAGCAGGTGCCAGAGCAGTAGCAGTGGTAGTCATTGTTGAGTAAACGATTCAAAGCAACGCAATGTTTGTTCGCTAACACTTTTAAAACATCTCACCCTTTCCCTTATTTTGCATATTTCAGAAAAGAGTTATTTGGAAAGAATAATAAGCACATTTCACATATACATTTCAACAAATTAGATAAAGAAAAAACAAGAGGTGGATTATCTGGAATCCAGGGGGGGGTTTGGAGAAGAACTATATAAAAGGATTTTGAGAAAGATAGAGAGAACAAATGATATATAAAAGGAAGAGGATGCTGTTGCGTACGTAATGCTGTCATGAAAGAGTTGTTTTTTTTTTCAAGTGAGAGGAAGTGGCGGTGGTGGTGAAATAAAAGAGAGAGAGATAACAGGAGGGGAGAGGGTGTATAAGTAGTAGTGAGTAACAGAGTTAGAATTAGAAAATGCTATGAATGCTTGGCATAAATTTGGAATTTCCCTCTTGACATTTGTGCAAAAGGCAGCTTGGTCTTTGAGCCGTCTGTTCGCTGGATATGAACCTGCAAGCAATGAGCGTATGTGTATAAGTCCATATTGCAGAAGGCAGCAGTATGTAGGAGGGGGAAAAGGTCTACTCGCTCAATACCTCATTTTCTGTTGCCGTGAGCAGCTTTGCGTTGTATCGTCCTGTGTTTGCATCTACCACTGTGAACTGGTCGCCTTTGCGATAAATGCGACCGTGGTAGTGCAGCTGTCCCTGGAAGGTATAGATGTGCGCGGACGGATATGCGTTGTTGGTGCTTAATGATGTGTCCAGCACTTTTTTGTTGGATGACGGCAGCCGCCCAGCAGCTTGTTGTGATTGTGGTTGTTGCATCGAAGCACTTGTCAATGGGACTGCAGGCGTCGTTGTCATTGTCGCAGAGGAGCCAACATTACTATTACTGCTACTACTACTATTACTTTTATCTTGCCCTGAAGAAGAGCCTGATGTGTTATCTCGGTCAGTATTTCTTCTTTTGAAACATCACTCTACCCCCTTCCTCCACCCTTTATCGCCAACTACTTACGAGCCTCGACAATCTGAGAAACAAGAAATCATGTAAGAGAGAGAGAAGGAGAGAGAGAGAGGGAGAGAGAGAGAGAGAGAGAGAACCCGCGCGACACAAGAGATACAACAAAGAATAAGAAAAAAAAAAGAAGTTGTCACGTGAATATGCTAATTGTTTTTTTTTTCTTTTTACATCGGAGGGATGATGGGAAGGCGAGGAGAATGTGGGGGTATGAGCTTTTATGTGAGAGTAAAAGTAAGTGGGGGGGGGGTTGTTTTATGAGCTTACTCCTAATGCAACCAGGTCCTCTTCAATCGAGTTGGGTGCTATGCCAGTAGTCCGTGGAGCCACAGGGAAGCCTACACTCTGAGTGATTCTCTGTAAATCTCGCGATTCTTCTGACTGCATCCGTTTTCGTTTGAACAGCGTATTCGGGTCCGGCACTCGATCCGCATCTATCAAGGAAATTCAGTCAACATCTCTTATTCCTTTCTTCTTCTTCTTCTTCTTCTTGGCTTACCAGTAAGTGGTTCATTTAACTTGTCGCGTTCGTTGTCCAGGTCCCATCGTTTCCGATTCAGCGATCCCAATATATCCCTCCTTAAAGCGTTCTTTCCAGACTACACAACATATCATATATACCCATGAGTCATAATCCTTTTTTTTTGCTACATAACAGTGATGACAATGAAATACATACGACGTAATCAATGTTTGCTTGGTATTCCAGCCCTTCAAACTGTTGTTGATAGCTGATTCGTTTGTGCTTCCGCCATGCCTCTGCCGTCTGGATCCGCTTGTTCTTTTTCTTTTCAATAGTTTCCATCATGGTGACCAGCTCGGGATGTGTTCCTATGTCAGAAAGAGACAACTCAGGTCAGCTTGGCATGGGATATACTCCAACAAGAACGCGTATGGTATTACCTCTTGCAATCATTAATGCTTCTTCGTTTAACTCGGTCATCTTTTCTTTGTACATTCTAAACACAGAAACATGTAAGCAAAACCAAGCGCATGGGAATCCCTGTTTTTTTTGTGGGGAAAGAATAAAACGAGTTGCATACTTGTCCCTCAGTTTGGCAAATTGAACCTCGATATGGGTCAACGCATCAAGTGCCTCTTTGTGTCGCTCTTGATATACTACGTCGTCGCCACCTACCACATACACAGGCACATACGATGAGAAAACAACCCTCCTTCTCTCTCTTTATCGTGTTTACTTTGCACAAAACATCTTACCTTCATTTCTGTTAGCCAGCCTTTCATCCTCCTCTGGCTGGGGTGTTTGTTGTCGTTGACCATCCTCCAGTCGTCCCTGCTCCTGTCTTTTACTGTCACGGTCCTCATCGTCTTCCTTTTGGCCATTGATAGATACTTGAGCGATCATGCTTGACGTTTCTTCTTCACGTTCCTCTCCACTGCTTGTTGGTGTTGTTGTTGTTACTGCTGCTACTACCGCTTCAGCTACTTCAGTTTCACCGTGGTTCTTTTCGTCATTGGCTCCTGCTGTTCCTGCTGATCTCGTTGTAGGTGATTCCAAGGAAGACGGTGATTGTTGTTGCTGGTCTGCATTTTCATGGACATTGGCAAGCCCGGCCATGGCCTCCTTGTTCTCCAACAATTTGCTCGTTCGTCGCTGCTGCCATTCTTCTTGTTCCAAAGCCACTGATCCTCGTCGCTTTTTGCCAGAATTTACTGGCGGCTTTTCGTTTTCTTTGGCGGTGGTAGAATGGGTTTCGTTGTTTGATAAAGAGGAAGAGGACGACGACGACGACGGTGACGAGTTTTCTTCGCCACCAAAACCACCACTACTACCGTAGTTTTTCTTTTCCTTCTTTTTGTTCCTCTTCTCTCTTCGTGTGAACAGTGGTGTTGGTGCAGTTGTTGGTGGCGCTGCTGAAATTGGTTTTGTTACTTGATTATTTTCCTCCTTCACTCGTTCTTCATCATCATCGTCGACACCTTCTTCTTTTTCGTTGATTGTTGGTGGTGGTGAAAGTGGCGTTTCTTCTTGTTTTTCGGATTCGTGCACTTCCTTTTCTAACTGTTTTCGTCGTCGTCGTTGTTGTGGTGATAGTGATGATGACGATTCTTTTTCCTTTTTGATCTCCCGCCGTTGTTCCTCTTCTTCTTCTTCTTCTTCCTCTTCCACTTGTTGCTCTTCGTCGTCGTCATCATCATCATCATACAATCGTTGCCGGAGATTATCACCATGAGGTTCTGGTGAAAGAGGTACAGGTACAGATGATAGAGAAGAAAACGGCTCTTCGTCGTCGTCGTCGTCGCCGTCGCCACCATCATCTTCCTCGCGTTCGTCTATATCCATAGGCGCGTTGCTTAAAGTATCCGAGCTGTCCTCAAAAAGCCCGTCGTCATCGTCAAACTCTACTTGTCCGTTTTGTTCGTCGTCGTCGTCTTCCATAATGATCTTATCGGTCGGTGTCAGTGATCCGTCACCATCGTCCAATGGGAAATCGTCGTCAGGATTACCAACAGGATTAGTATCATCCTCTTCCTCTGATAATTCGGAAGGTGAGGAGCCCAATGAAAGTCGAGAGGAATCAGGGCGAGTGGAGGTATCGTCTTCGATACCATCACTTGAATTGACTGAACCGTTGGCTTCCATTGAACGTATATTGCAGTGGTAGTAGCAAGTAATCGGAGGCGTTTGTCGCTGTTGTTGTTGTTGTTGTTGTTGCTCGTGTGTGTGTATGTGTTTATAAAAAAGAGCTTTGTCTTTCTTGAACAGTTGGTAGAGAAAAAAAAGGTCCGGAAAAGAGGAATTACAGTTCAACGAGAAAGGACAGAGAGTAAGGCGAATGACAAGAAAAGTTAGGTAATGGCAAACGCTAAAGTTTTGAGAGTGTTTTTGCTTGTTAACTTACAAGTTTCCCTAAGAGAATTAAAGGTTGCCGTAGATATAGAGAGTTAGACAAGAGAGAAAGAAAATAAAACGTCAATGAAAACGCGCAACACGACTGGTGCGAAGAGAGGAAGCAAAGAGAGAAAAAGCAACTTTTTTTTCCTTTTCTTTTTTTTGCCAGGCCGCTCTTTCTCTTTCTTTGCAGGCAAGCAAAAGAATTTCAAACACCGGCTGTACATTTTACGACATATGCATTTTTCAAATCTCCATGGCTCGGTTTCAGTGGTAGAGCTGTTTGGCAGACGAAGCTTCCTGTGTCTGCGCAAGAATAGAGCTCTAGACCATGGGAGGAGGTATCTTTTTGATAAGCTTGTACAGAGAAAGAATGGAGGGTTGATCAAGGTGGCATCTCTGCGGCATGCGGTCCGTGTGTCATTTTCCATCGTGACGATGTAAGGCGTATCACTTTTATTTGAACGATTTGAGTAGCACAGACCTTTGATGCTTGGGGTAGCGAACATACGCCAGCACATTCATGCACCATTAGCAATAATGACAGGACAGGCAAAGTGGCGATTGATGATGGATGGTGGTGGTGATTTACAAGGAGCCTTTTATTTTTATAAGTGGAAATATACAAACATTCATTCTTTAATACAAAACACAAACTATCTTTCGTTCCTCTTTGTCTCTATTGCTCCTTGGTCTCTTGTGCTGGTGCCTCCTTGTCTTCTGGAGCAGCACCACCCTCAGGCTTTGGTGCCTTCTTCTTTTCCTTCTTCTTCTTTTCCTTGACAGGCTTTGCTGCTGGTGGTGGGTAGGCGAGTGTGTTGAGCTTCATGACCTCGGGATCCTCAAAGGCCTTGCGGATAGGATCCAACAGCTCGTTCAATGCAGCAATGACGCCAGCCTTGAGATCACCAGGGTGCAGCTGCTTCTCTGCGAAATCTTTCTCCAGCGTAGCATAGTCCTTGTAAACAATGTCGCCACCAAACTTTTCAGGACGCGGGCAAACAAAGGTAGGCGAGTCAGTGCTGAGCGTCTTGATCGGGAGATAGACCGACTTGATGAATGCCAACAATCCATTCTCAGTGATATTGCCCTCCTCACAGAAGGCCTTTTTAATCTTCTTTTGCACCGTCTTGGCATCATCCAAGAAATCAATTTTGGAGTCAGGATCCGAAGCAGACATCTTCGAGCCTGCCAAACCGGGCACCATCGCGTTCATCAAATGCGATCGCTTCGCATAACCAATGTGCGGAAGGTACTTTTCGGCAAGAACAAAAATCTTGCGCTGGTCAACACCACCAAACTGGCAATCCACACCCAGGTATTCTTCGTCCAATGCTTGCATACCAGGGTACAAAAGACCGGACAGTAGAGGCGAAGCAACTTGCTTGACGACTTCGGCACCGGCCTTTTTGGCGTCGTGCTCGGTGATGCAGGCGGCCAACTTGAAGTTGTCCATGGTATATTCTTTGGAAAGCTCAAAGTCCGAACCAATGACAAACTTGAGCTTGTCAATCGACACGCCAATCGAGGTCAACACGGTCTTAATGATGGTTTCGTAGTATTTGACGCGATGATGCACGAGTTCCAAAGGCGCCTTCATGTTGTCGAGGAAAGCGTGTATATCGGCAAGCAGAATGGTGACCTAGATCAGCAGTATTGATAAGTTTTCATTTCTTTGATACCTTTTATCTCTTCCGTTATATTTTACTGCAAGTAGAAAACAAGTGAATAGTTGATACTTACTTCGACACCAGCAGCCAGAAAGTCGGCAATTTTGGTCATAGCGACGAAGTAACCAATGTGAGGACGACCAGTAGGTGCAGTACCCCAGTACAACTTTAAATCGCGCTCGCCGAGCACCTTTTTAATTTCATCACCACCAAGGACTTCTTGTAAGTTACGGGTAATAAGGTCGTATTTCTGCTCGGGCGTCAAGTTGGACATTGTAAGATTAAAGAGGTACGGAGAGGAAAAAGTAAGGGAGGAGGTTGAACCTTTTTGCGCTTTATCGAGTCAATTGGTCCAACTCTGAGTCAGATTTCAACCTTCTCCAAGCCACAATATTCAGGAACAGTTCAAATCGCATGAACTTTGGTTTACCTGGGAAGATAGTGGGTGCACTGCCATGTACAGCGTATTTTACATTTTGTCTCGCGTATTGATTGCATTTGTCGGTGAATTTGGGACATTTCACAATGGAGAGTCTGGCTAATTTGTTTGGTGTTTCTTTATCGCTCATCCTGGAAAGCACTTGGTCCGTTACGTCTGCGGAACATCGAAACCCATATAATCCAACGACTTTTGAATTTTTGATAATCTTGCGTGAACCTAACTTGAGCATGCCGTCGTGCTGTGACAGGTGATTTCCTGAGTGTTTGCAATGTTTGACGAAGGTTCAAAATAGCGTTGTTAAAGCAGTTCATGTTGAATACGCTTATTATACAGCGTTAAGGTATGTTACAGCTTCCACATCGCCTATTGATCGTAGTCAATGGGTTGTATATTAGCAGGAGTTCGCCATGATACAAGCTCAGATATTATAGCTAGCTTGGAAACAAGGATCGTATTAAACTGCTGTATTTCAGCCTGTGTTGGTTTCTGCAATGTTTCCTGAAAGAATTGCAACGGTTTTCGATTCTTGTGAGCCAGTGGGAAGATATTCGAAAAGGGAACAGCAGTAGCCCCGTCTCATGTGTAGAGTATCTCCAAGCCTTTTTTCATATCGATCTCGCCGTATACGTTTCGAACCGGAAACTGGTGGTTATATTCCGGTATCTCGAGATACGATGCATTGCGATTGATAGGATCAAAAATTGAACTATCGCATCCTCCCGTAACGAGTCGCCGTACTTTCTGGCAACATTATAGCATCGTTTTAATTATTTGTCCGGTGATGGTGGCGCATTCTAGTTTCCAGGTTCGTGAACGTCTCATCGGAAAATCCCCAATCAACGTCTTTATAGGGGATCCTGCCCGCTATTTAAATTTGACAAAGCACTGAAGGACGAAATGATTTCGCTGTCTGGTACAGTAGTGGTGCTCTTATTGCTTCCGATTTCGATGGTCACGTATTTCAATGTCTGACTCGCCTGTTATTAAGCATGTAAAACCAGCACAATGCACAGTCATAAGCTATCGCAAACAGAAGCTGTTGTTATTTTTTAGTTATAAAACTTTAATTCTGATGAACTTTCAATTAGTATTTGGACTCATACCTGTCATGTTGAGCGAGTAGATCATATCTGAAGCATTGCTTGTTTAAGGCAACCATTTACTGTATTTGCGCGCATCGCTGTATTTGTGGTATAGAGCTTAAGATGTCCAACATGTTTTTGCGATATGCTCTGTTTATCGGCTAGTTGGGTGTCGTCAACCGATAAATCCTTCCATGTATTCGCTCATCTGATCGTCCGCTCGCGCCACATTTCTGAAACAGACACACACGAGACTTTCGCGCCCTCCGGGAGCAATGTGATGATGGTCTTTGTAATCTAAGTAGACTTTCGTCACAAAGTCGACGCGTTTTTCTATTTCAGTGATAGGTTCCTCCTTGCCAGCCGTCAAACGTAATATTTGTTGATTTTGCCTTTTGGAGTCCGTCGCCATCCAACAATTGCTTGGTTGTTGGTGGGCTTCCAAGGAATATATGCTCGCTTTTCGAATATATCCAGCTACTAGTCCAGATTAGATGTCATTCTTCCCGCGTCAGTGAGTGCATGGAGAGGCTTTCCTTGGATCGCTTGGACATGTGCCGAAACACATAACATTTCAAGTAGGAACGCTATTGTTTAGAAACATACTGATGTTCTCAACTATTGATGACTTCGTTCAGTTTCCTCAATCATCGTTACAATGATAGGAGCGATTTGCTGAGGCAAAGAACCATCAGATGGCTGCTGCTGCTGCTGATACGTGCCATCGGTCATAGTGTACGATGTACAGAAGCAAAGGCAAAAGACCCATTACATCGAAAAGTTTTCAAAGCTCGCGATTTTTGCTAATTCCGCTAGTAGTACAGCTCATGTGACCAAAACTGGATCAAGGAAGAGCAGACTGGTGTAACTGATGGTAAGGGTGCATAATCAGTGGTGGGACAGTATGTAAATTTGGCTTTGTTGGCGGCGACGCAGAAACAACAACTGTTTGATTACATTATGCCCTACATAACCATCAGCATACCATGCGCTGATAGACCCTGATAAATTGTGACGTGGAGATGACTATGATTATACGATACGGCTTCAGGATTTGATCTTGCTACAGTACTATTCTGTTTTGCAGTAACAACAGCACAAAAGCAATCATCAATGTCAAAACAGCAAACTTTCAAATTTCTTAAAGTTTTACTGTCCGAAACTCTCACCAAAATGTTTTTTGATCTCACCCAACATGACTATATTATGTGTATGGCGATTTGTCGTGGCTGGTATGAACTCACGCCACAATATACGAAGAGTATATGGAGAAGGTTACACACCAGCGTGACATTCAAGTATCTGACACGTTTGACGAAGAATACCTGATACAACCGGTAAGAAAAAAGGTTTCATAGATTTATCCAGGCTAAGAAGCGATGAAATATGAAAAAGCACAAAAGTAATACTGTATTACCGTCGGAAGAGAATAACTATCATGTATATGCCGTTTGTTTACTATGATGTTTTACACTGTCTATATATATAGATTTGTTCATTGTGCTTCTGTGGCTTGAGGAATGTTACTAAATCTACTGCAACCACGGCAACCAGCTAAGCATTGTAGCATAGACACAATTGTAAAGCACGGATACACTATACTCGGATTATCCAGCTTATGTAAGCAGTAGCAGTACGATTGCCATTATATCATGAATGTGGAAGATCTTACACCTGTACAACGAGGGGCGGCTATAAGCCGATACTGTATGGACTGACGCAATATGATGCATAGGCGTATGTCGTTAGTGATCTCTTGATATCCTTTACGATAATTTAGAAAGAGAAGGTCTGCTTATGATGCACTTAGAATGGATGTCTTGTCACAAAAAAAAAAAAAAAAGGCACCTGGCAGTGGCAGGTGGAAACGAGCGGATGGGCGATGATAGCGGATAGTGTTATGCAAGCTAATCAATACTTATCATCAGCTGGTTCGGGCACCGTTTCACTGTGCCGATCCACGCCTGCCGGCTATCGCACATGCGATGAAGACTGCTGTCTTCGCACGTCGCTTTTGCTCCCAACCCAAAACCACTCTTCTATGCATCGCCATCGTTCAAGCGATCTGGTCAGCACATTGGTTTTTCATATTCGAAGGCCACCCTTTCATTCCGCAGGCAGTAGCTGCTCATGCCACTGCCATCTATCACCGCACATATAAATAGGTTTCTCTTTTCCGTCACTTCTCTGTTCCTCATTTTCTCATACATGTATTCACATCCAATAGTCCGTCACTCCTCTGGACACTCTGTTAGGGAATAAGTTTTGCCTCCAGACCATAAAAAAAATACTTATGATCAGAATGATTGGGCGTGTACTAGTTTTGGTTAGCGCCAAGCTCAAGCCAGGGATCAAAGGGTCTCGGTACAGTGTCTACCGTCAATGTTGCTTATGTTGAATACGAGATTACTTTTGGATTTGTACCGCGTCGATATTGGGCCGGTGAACAATAGCTTCGGATGATAACGATATATTCGCGCAAGGTGTTGGCGAAATTTACATCACTTTTGGTTTGGAGTAAGTATGTGCTGAATGTCGTATCCAGCTTCCTGATGGGATAAGTGAGCCATTGTAGAAAGTCTCGGCCGTTGTTGGATTAACCATGGTGCGATGTGGTGGCGTGGTTATTCGGTTTTGCAGCATGGAGAGTAGAACTTCGCTGCGGCACTCAAAGCTGCTTTGCCCAGAAAGTTGTTTGACGCACTTCCATCGTGTAATCTCTTTTAAACTTGACATTGTCATTTTCTCTGATGCTGCTGTTGTTGCTGCTTGACTTGAGAAAGTACAATTCATTGCGAAACGTAATGTCGTAGAGCCGTCGTAAAGTGTCGTGAGCATATTGAATCTTGGTTAGTTGTCTGCTAATTTACGCGTACTTTGTGTTTTATTAGTGATTGAGACGAGGCGATAGAGTTAATCCAACCGTTGTGGCGGTTTGCTTTGCCCAGTTGTTGTAAAAGACCGCTTGGCAACGCTTTGGACTGTACATATGAATTATAATCCATACTAAGCACATACGTAGAGCATGTACCTTGATGTGGCTGTTACAACTGCTACCAGACCTCAGTGACGACATAATCACAGAGAAAGAGGAAGGTATGATAACAGTGCGCATCATTCTTTTAAAAGTCATTGCATCAAAGCAACCATTTTTTAGTTCGAACGCTTCTTTTCGTATACAAAAAGGCGACAGTCTTTTCAGTTCGGCACGAAAGTAATGTGGCTTCTTCTTATGTAAGCATCTTGTCACAGTACCACTAATCTCTCACAATTTCAACCATTCCTGGCACTTGTCTTTTACTTTTCCTCAGGGATGTGTTGCTGAAACCTATGTGCACCTTCTGGCTTGACGGGGTGCACGTACCTTCCTATTGGAAAACAAGCGGCGACGTTGTCGGGACACGCCCTGCATGATACCGGTGGAAACCTTCGTAGGACAATAATACACGCAAATCACACACGCCTTCTTCTTGACCGCTTGACCGCTTGACCGCTTGACCATGTCTCTTCTGCACATGTTTTTTTCTTCCCTACCCTTTGCTTTCTCACATGTTTTTGAATGACGAATCACAAGTCACGTGACGTGTTTTTTTAAGACAGGGGTTTGAGTTCAAAAAATGTAAATACGCCCACATTTTTCAGGCCATTCCCTTTTTCTCTTCACTCTTTCTTTCCTTCACTTTTCTTTTCCCTTCACTCCCTTGGATCCTCCTGGTCTTTCTCTTGGCTCTTCCCTTGGTTCTGGTCTTC